TAGCTTAGCACAAACACTGGGGATGGGGAAACTGTTAGCTTAGCTTAGGAAAATGACTGACAGCAGGGGGAAGCTGTTAGCCTAGCTTAGCACAAACACAGGGCGCAGGGGGAAACTATTAGCCTAGCTTAGCACAAAGACTTGGAGCAGGGGGAAACTATTAGCCTAGCTTAGCACAAACACAGGGAACACTGGGTAAGCAGTATGTTGTATCTATGAAGAACAAATTCAGTTGATTATAGGATCATTTTCTCAACGACGACATTTTGTAAATATTAAATACTGTCGTCTTTAATTTCGGTGAAACGTTTGATAATTCTTAGTTTTTCTATGAGATGGTTTTTGTGTGACTACCAGGAGAGGATTTAGTAAATATGAGGTTTTGATAGCTGCTGTGGATCAATTGTTCTGTTCAGAGCTAATCAATAGAGGATTGTGTTTGAGGACGGGAACCAATCGGTGATCGGTATCAGATCAGTCGACTGTAATTCCATTAAATCTGAGGCCAGTGTGAGATTCTTCAGACACCAGCAGCCAGACGGATGATTCCCAGCGAGCGGCGACTCTCCCGCCGTCAGATTTAATGAAAAGAGCGAATCAATATCAGCCGATCAGCTGCTCGGATCAGAGGAGCGTCTGGACGGTTTATCTCTGCTGTTTGTTAGCGTCGCTTCATATCCTCAGACTCTGGTTCAGATGAGATCAGTCACGATGAACGCAGCATCTGAAAACAGCATCAGATCCTCCAAGACGTAGTTAAATAAAATACACAAGAACATGAACGGACAGAAGATCGACCAACAGCTGGCAGTGGAGCTCAGACTCTTTGTTCTGCTTTCAGACTTTTCAATTTTCAGCATTTAACATTTTAATTTTCTTTTATATTTTAATATTGTAACACAGCTATGTTTAGCTAATGTTGGTGTGTATGGTTTCAGTTCACTGCTAATTAGCAAATGTTAGCATAGCATAATGGCTACAGCTACATGCCAATGTTGACCTGACCTGTGTGATTACTGTTATTTTGCTAATATTAGCTTGCTAGTCCTTCCACAGTTACTTGTTAATGTTGAGCACTGGTAAGTGGCTAATGTTAGCATGGTGACACGGCTACAGCTATGTACTAATGTTGAGCTGGACTTGGTGTTTGCTGTGGATTTGTTAAGTTAGCAGAGAACCACAGTTACAGCTACACACTTATGCTGAACTAAACTTTGCATTCACTGGAAAAGAGCTAATGTTAGCTTGCTAACTCTGCTACAGGTACTTGCTAATATAGTATGTTCACTGATAAGTGGCTAATGTCAGCATGGTGACAAGGCTACAGCTACATGCTAATGTTGAGCAGGACTTTGTGTTTATGGTAATTAGCTAATGCTGGCAGAATAACATGGTTACAGCTAATTTTTTGCTGGGTGCTATGTTTTCTTGCTAATGTTAGCTAATGTTAGCTTGGTGGCACGACTACAGCTATACCCTAATGACATTATGTGGAGCTGCGCTTTGTGTTTACTGGAAATGTGCTGTGATTAGCTTGCTAACCCGACTGCATCGACATGTTCATGTTGAACTGGACTTTACTGGTAGTTAGCTGGTGTTAGCATGCTAACATGGCTTCAGCTACATGCTAATGATGTTCTATGGGGCTGATAGCATGTGACAAACAGAAAGAAAACAGACGTGTAGTTCAACTTTTAGTGAGGTTTATTTTTCTGTCTTCACGTATTTTTTCTCTTTTTTCTGTTTTGTGATGAATCAAACAGGCTGGATCGGGTTCCTCAGAGGACAGAACCTCCTGATCCGATGCCTCCACGATGAAGGCTTCATTCTGTCTGTTGCTGTGTTTCAGAGCTCGTCGGGCTTCCAGGCGTCTGTGACCGACGACGGTCTGATAGTGGCGACACTCGAGCACTCGGACCTGCAGGACAACGTCACGTCGTACGCGGTGCAGATCTCTGGAGAACCTCGGCCGGTTCTGGTGCCGTTCTCCAACAGCAGCGAGACCGTTGCGTTCAACGCCTCGTTCCACGGCCAGTGCTACTCCGTGGGTCTACTGGTCCAACTGGGACAGAGCTGGTCCAGACCCATCAAGACTCTGTCCGTGCTCACAAGTAAGAACCTGGACTCAGCGGTCGGGTTCACTGGTGTCTGATGGACGGTACCGGACCGCCACTGTGAATCCTGTGATATTTGAGCTGCAGCTATTATTCAGTTGAGATAATTCATTATATGGTGACGTTTGATGGTTCCAGGTTCTGAACTTGACTGGTTTTAGCTTTTCTCATCATATTGACTTCATTCGGTTCCGTTGGACTCTTTTCACTGATAAAACACATCAAATAACGGCTGGTTGCAGCTTCACATCAGGTTTTACTTTTATGAATTTAATTTATTTAAATTCCCTTTGAATGAAGCTGGACGGTGAAATGATCCGTAACTAGTTTTGTTTTTCTGTGTTTCAGGGTTTAAACAGTAAAGTTCAGGTTTAGTTCACACAGCAGCTGATGTTTAAATACATTCACGACTGGTTTAAGGGTTTAAAAAGCTCAATATGAGGAAACATGTCAAGGCTTTAATATTTACTCCACTTTATTCTAAAAACTAAGATGTTGTGAAGAAAACCTTAAACTGTACAAATAAATGTGTGGGTTTTGTTTTAATCTTTGACATTTACTTAATTGGTGCTTTAGAAATAAGATTAAAAGAATTTGCAGGTTTCATTTGAGTCTTAACGAACAGATTAATTCAGATAAAAGAACTTTTAGATGTTTTCTTCAGCAGGAAGTCATGAAGAAGTTCTTCTTTCTTTTGTCCATAAAAACTCTGAAAAGGCAGAAGCTCCAGTGAATGTGTCCACATGAGTCCCGACTGCTGTGGCTTCAAATCCATTTCCTAGAAGGAGGTTGGAGGGAATCTTAGTTCCTGTGATTTGCTGTCTGTCGTCTGACGGCCGACTCTTGTTGTTGTGTCTCAGAGCCGCTGCCCGTCCACAGCGCTCAGATTTCCGACTATAAAGAGGCTCCAGAGACCGGAGTCGTGTTTGAAATCGACCCTCCGGCTGGAAACGTCTTCAGCCGAGTCAACATCAGCTACACGGAAGGACAGGAGAGACGGTCGATGCTCTACAAAGGTAGGACGCTTCACTGCAGCGGCTGCTTAGTTATGAGGCTAGAATGTGTCCAGAGAGACGCTTCAGGACCAGCGTCCAGCATGAAGCTATTTACAGAGTTTATCATCACTGATAATCATCCAAACTGCTGGAACGTCTCAGTAACTGATTTCTCTTTAATGTGGCCTCAGCATGTAGCAGGAGGTTCTGGTGTTAGAGAGGATCCAGCACTGATCCCTGAGGAGCTCCACACCTCATTTCAGCAGCAATAAACACAAAAGAGTTTCTACAAACAGAAATGTGTTCTTTCACTCCTCGTTCTCATTATTTACCCTCACTGGGGCAAGTTGTGGCCGATACAGGAAACAAATAAAACACACACTTCCTCCAGATGTGTGTTTCTGTGTTGCTGCCTCGATCCAGCTGTTAAACACACAAGAACAAGTTTCCAGCTTGTTGTGGTTCATCACACTAACTCTCATTAAAAAAGTGATTTCTCTTTGGTTTAGTGGCAGAGAGTCACGACGGTGAATCATTTGTACCAAAAACAGTGAAAGAAAAGAACAGAGGATCCAGCACGGATCCCTGAGGAGCTCCAAAGACACAAAATCCTTCATTTAAACACAGATTTATCTTCTTTTTGCTTCTAACTTTTATTATAATCTGAGCTGACCACAGTGTTGGACAGTGTGTTAGCCAAAGGTGCTAACAAATGCTAACAAAACTCTTCTGGTTTTTGTTCTAACTCCTGAAGTAAAGAGCGTTAAAATCATATTTTCTACTTCATCTCTAATTAAATGTTCTTGTTTTGCAGCTTTTTAAATCATTTTTCATCTTTTGTGTTTGCAGATTTCTACAAAGGGAAGACGGTGTTCAAACACTGGCTGCCGGGCGTCTGTTACCGGAACATCACCTTCCAGCTGATCTCTGAAGCCACCGTCTACCAGACGGCGTTGGTCGCCCACAGCGACGTCACACACACGCCTCTGCACCACCGCACAGGTGAGAAACCCCGACCCGGTGCTCAGGTTCAGCCCAGTCTGTCCTCGGCTAGCAGCCTGTTAGCTTAGCTTAGCTTAGCTTAGCATGGAGAGTGGAGACGCCAGCAGCGCTGAAGCTCAGATGTCAGGTGAGCTGCAGCTTGAAGTGAACGATGAACCGAAACGTTGCTGAATGTTTCTGGTGAAACACGCCGTCCAGGACTTTCATTTATCTGCTGTTGCTTCTTCTGTTTTCTGAACGTTTGGGTGTTCTCGTGTTTCTTTAACATGTTTTTAGTTTTTATGGATTATTTTGCTGCTTCCTTTTGTTTCCTTCTGAACCTTTTTCCTTCAGCTGTCGTCTGTTTTTCTACATCTGAACCAGCAGCAGGCCCTCGGTGTGGTTCTTGGTCATTCCGGGTTTTTTAAACTTCAACGAGCAGAAAGTCTGAGAAGCTGCAGACGTTTAGAACCGATTGTGAGATGTAAGAACTGGACGGGTTCTGGGTGTGAAAGAACCTCCAGATAGAACTCCTCTGATGGTCGTCATTCATAGAAATGTTTGTTTCCTGCACTTCAGAGGATCAGAGCTGTTCTGCTCGGTTCTGTTTGAATATTTAGGACCTAGAAACAGTCAGAACATGTTTCCATCCGAACAGAACCGATGCTGAAGTGAATCCAGCGAAGCGTCGCCGCCTCACTGGAGGATCATGATGATAACAGCAGCACTGAGCGCGCTCAGTCTGACCTGCTGCTGCATTATTGATCAGACATAAACGACTCAAACATCGTCAGAGCAGAAACGTTCGTCTGCTGCAGGTTGTTCTCGTGTTTCACATTCAAATCTTTTCATTTGAATCACTTACAGTGAGTTTGGGTTAGCAGGACGTCTTCTGAAGCCGTTAGCGTTTAACAAAGCCGACCGATGATCAGATCTGATGTTCAGCATCAGATCTGATCATCGGTATCAGAACCGACAGCAGAGACCAACAGGTTCACTGATTGGATAAATACAAGAACTGCTGTGTTTTATTTCTTCTGATCAACCAGCTGCAGTCTGAACATTTAACGGTTTATTCATGTTTCACATCAGGCGCGTTACGCTGCTACGAGAGGAACGCTTCCACACATGCTTTATATGTGTGTGCTCTAAACAACAGAGTTCCATTTGACAGCAGTAAACTAGCTTA